CAACTCTTGTATATGTTTGACATGTTTGTTGATAGTACAGTCAATCTTTGACTTTAGGAACTGAAGCAAGAAGTTCCATATACGACATTATTGAAGTAGCTGAATTCATAGAAACCTTATCTACAATAATATAAAACGCGTGATTAATGAAAGTTTGTATGGAACTTAATAAAACGTAGAATTAGATCATGCATAAAAGTGAAATTTTACAAAAGATTTTTTTTTCAGTTTGCATGTTTTAAAAGGCAGATATTTAGTATAAAGAATAAATATAAGTAATAAACGTTTAAAAACGTTGCTCACAGCTTGTACCCAGGGAAAATCTACTTAACTGTTTCAAAAATATTTTAGTTCAAAATATGTAGAACAAAACTAGCTTACCGCCATATCTCCGGTATTGTTTTTGTAAACAAAAAAGGGGAAAACTATCCTATGGGCAGTCGTTTTAGAAGAAGCTATGTCAAATTATGACTCAGAACAAGCGTATGACATCAGGACATTCCCTAAGTTATTCGGTTGAGTTAGATATCATGATGTACCATCTGAACCACATCCTGTGGTTATCATGCTGACAGAACTCCATGTCTCTGTGGGCAAAAGCTAATTTACTGACGTTTCGGCTGCCGCGATATATTTTATAATTGAAAAGACGTCCAGCCCTCCTGAGGCGATGAGTGACCATTACGTTACCTAAGATCGGCTTAATGGCTTGATACGACTTCGGCGTGGTACAGGTTGATGTTGCAACACACTGTATAGTAGCGAAACAAACAAATGAACTTGCACATTTTTTTATATAACGAAGCAGCCGCGCAGACAGGAGCCTAAATGCCGGGACCCCGCGGCTGCTATGAGAATGCCAAAGAAATTTTGTGAATCCGATTTTTGAACTGCCTAAGGTTAGTAGAACTGGGAAAGCTTCCTCTTGTAGATTGTTCCACAATCTCGACACTCTCGAGACAAAAGAAGCGGTGGTATCGGCGGGTCTGGATATATGAAGTTCGACACGGTTAGTCAGCAGGTCTGTCTGGCAGGCACATCGCGCGCCTGTCACCATGGAAGAGAGGTCTGAGGAGCAAAGCCCGTTGGTGTAGCGGTAGAAGAGAGCTAGATCGCCGATCTGTTCAAATCCAAATTCAGAATGCAACTAAACATAAACTATCAGTTTTATCCGTAACAGGTATATGTGTGAAGATGTACTCAACTAAAAAAGCATAAAAAGGAAGTTATCCTGTCTATGCAGGAAGCTGACGATATTTTGTCATTATCATCGATCTGTGCTTCGAAAAAACTCGAAACGTCAGTAAAACGTAATTCAAACGTATGTAATTTGATTTGGCTTAGGAGTCATGAAATTCTATATAAGGATATGATTCGAAGACATACTTCCGTTGTTGCCTCATCTCGTCATCCCTCATATGCACCGAATGACCATGTCCAAATGGCCGCTGGCCAGCAGCGCGAGGCGTGCCGTGCTGAAAGATGGATAACGGCCGTTAAATAATGACCAGATTATTCCGGTTATTTTTGTTTCACTGCCCATCCTGCAACCTGCGGAATGCTGATGGGGTGGATTTCAGAGATGGATTGCTCATGTGACCGATGGGACTCTTTTGGTGACTTATCAAATGGAGTTTCGCATTTGGACATTTGAAGTATTTGCTGATATTGGGATTCTATTTTTATGGTAAGAGTTTTTAGTTAGTAATCGCTAATAAATAGCAAGCATCCTAATAAATATCGAGCTTGCACCTGTGGAACCATTCCAACCTCAAATACCTTGCCATAACACGAGTGATGTCACTGATGCCTATTTGCTTATTGGAGCACGTTTCACTTGAAGTAATTGTTTCAAGTTCCCCATAGATTTTTGTATATATATATATATCAATGGGTTTGTTACAGCTCCATCGGCCGTCTTCCGCATCCTCTTCCCAATGCCTCTTTATTGCTCCAGACGTTATCTTCTAGATCTCTTCCATACCTACGTCCCTCGTCTGACTTGCTATACTCATTTCTTTGGTGACCTATCTCATTTCCTTTCGAAAGGAGGTTTCGACATTAATACCTGTTTCGTCCACCGACTGTCTCACAATTTCCTCTGTCACTGGCGTTTGAACATTCATTCCTTGCTTTACTTTCCTATCTTTGATTTTCTGTAGCCTTGAATTCCACAGCTTTTTCAAAAAGAGTGCGTTACGGTCGCGTCTACTCTCTATGTCCCGTTTTGTCATTTCTCATACTTCTGATGCATATAATAGATTGATTTGTACAATAATTGACTGGTACATTTTTAGTTTGTGTTTTTGTATATTATTTGACCTCAATATCGAAATCAGTTAACTTATGCATGTCTTGCATTGCTCCCTCGATTCCATTCTCCCATGTTCCCTTTTTTTGATACTAGATGAATATACTTTTCACAAGGCTCTACTAATTCTCCATAAATGTTAATTGTCTTGATCCACATTTATTGCCATTTGATTTCAATTCTTACTCCACAAATGAGTTACTGGCAATGAACATCTCATCATCTGTGAAGCTTCCATTCAAGCAACAACCGTGTCTGAGACCTTTTGTTGGTTTTATTGCCCTTAATAATATTTTTGCATATGTAGTGTTGCGTGACATTTTCCCCAAATTAGCGAAAACTAAATATAACAAAATAAATAGTGGGCCTTGATATGGCCCTCAGCACATCTATAAGCCTTACAAATCAACAAGCTGCTTGCTTGCCACTTGTTCCAAAAAGCTGTAATGCAATTATCACCGCTTCCCACTGTACGTATTTCTTAAGGGCAAGCTTGTTTATACCCAGTCATATCACAAACATCAGCCTCGCAGGAAGCATATTGTTGCATCATCGATCGGGAGCACACTCACAAAAACCTAATGGAATTGCACTCGTTACCATCGCAGTGTGCCATGTCAGGGAGAAAAATAATATTGGGGGAAACAAGGAGTGCTGAATGATTCAGCACGTTTAACGGCAGAAGGAAAACTTCCACGGTCGACGACGTGCAGAAGGTGTGGGTGTGTGCTTTGGCTTGAGAGGTATTGGAGATGGTGGGATGTTTCAGGAAGGTGCTTCGTACTAACAAGCAACGAAAATGAAACTCACAAAATTCAGTCAGCGTACTTCAAAAGCAGTTATAACAAAGCACGTCGCACTGTTGCGTTGATGTAAAACAAAGCTTTTGAATGCTGAATCTGGAATAACATGTATTATAAATACTTCTTTGGAACAAAGTACAGGGTGTAAGTTGTAACTTCTTCTCAGAAACAACTATATTTGAAATAACAGAGTTAATTTGCGGCATTTGCACATCACTGAAAACGTAATCCTAAAATTGAAGAAACATACTCACTATTTGTTCGGTACGGCATTTTAAGTAATACCATATCACAGGTTTTGTTTGGGGTTACTACTTGTTGCTGTTCGATTCAACAACACGAGTTTGTCTACTTTTTCTTCAATTTGCAACATTTGGGGTTGTCTAAGTCTTTTATTTTGTCCACCCGGACGGCTTTTGCACGACATAAACAAACCTACGCAGCTCTGATGAAAATATCGAGGACGACTACCAAATTCTAAATACTCGAATGCACTCGTGGAGTATCAATAGGATCTTGAAGATGCCACAATAAACTAACATCAAATCGACAACTAGATTACTCTTGTGGGAACGTGCCAATTTCTGTTTCCAAATTCGATTTGTTTATAAACTATGTTAACCTACACTCCCTCACTCATACACACAAAAAATGAGATCTTGGTTGCAGTGCAGAAATTCTCTTAAAAATATGGACTTGATATAAGGCCACAGATATTTGGAATAAGGTAATTTCTTTGGTTCAAGGAAAAAGGATTCCTCCGGTTGAGAAATATATTTCTTTGTAATGTGCTCTAAAAACAAAAAAACTACTCTGTTTCTAAAATTTTTTACATTTGTATCAAGATCTTCATGTTTTTAGATCAAATCTTGTTGAGTTATTTAAAATAAGTTCATCATTTTCTTCACATTATCATAAATTTCATTGGAACAAGAAAACCTTGGATATCTTCAAACAAGTTCCTGATGACCTTCTATAGAGGAAATCATTCTGTTGGTCATACCAGAACGTTGCCAAATCCACTACTTAGACACTATAGCTACTAAACATTGATTTTTAGTATATTGATCTTAAAAAATATTAATACCTGAACAACAAACGTATGAAAAAAAAATTCTAATTTATGTTTCGAAAATAAATTAGCCGTTATACCATCACAGCCGGTTGAAAACTCGTACACTATTCTGTATACACAAATTATGAAAACTGCTTGAGCCACTTTTCAGCTTTTTATGTTTTGATTTTCAATTATCCATCATAACAATATAGTTTTAATAACTTGATGTACATTTTAAAGATCTACTCATACATGATAACATGTATCAAATCCTGATTCCACTATCTTCTGATAATTTCAATAGACTAACTGACAATGCCGCGTGGCCATGTGAACATCGCCCTTAAAAATTTGAAAGAATGGTGATGGTTATACTGATAACGCGATGTCCCTGATTCTCCCACGTAGCTAGACCCGGGTTTTATCAATTTTCTATTCTCGCGTGAAAAACACAACAAATGGTTGGGATATACATTGTGGTGTCTGAGAAAGCGATTGAGATACGAATGGCTACGAAATTCGCAGTTTTTCTAATTTTCCTTTCATTATCATTTCAAATGAAAGTCGGCAGCTACTCAAAATTTTCTTGTACCATGTTTTCTTCATATCACTGTTTTTCCAATAATTTATATTTAAGTATAGGTACAGGTTTTCAAATAATTTGCTGTATTCCTTCCATGCCATAGTTATTCTGAAAAACAGTATAGTTTCAGAGCTGCTGGCGACTTTCATTCAAAATAGCTGAGCCCGAACGTCAGAGAGTTTCAGCGATATTGTGATCTACGGTCTAGAAAGAACACATTTCAAACTGTTTCACAGATCCTCTAATTAATGAGATGGTTTTGTCATGGAAAGATTTAAGGACACCCATGTGATCAGAAGGGATTGCGTCAGAAAAACAGTGAAACAATTTCTACAAGACTGGCCTATGTTTCAATATCTCCGGAGAGAAGTTTTGGTAAAAAATATCCCACGTTTCGAAAAATAATCAGATCATTCTGCTGGTGTCTCTTACTAGACTGTTATCATTATAATTTTCTCCTTTCCATTTTCCGCCAATTTTCATTATTTTAACAAGTTACATCTAACATATATTTATTGCAGGTTAACCTGGATTTTGAGATACTATTTCCTGACAAAGCTCTTAGTTTATACAACAATTAAGATAATGTACTTGAGAAAATTGTTGAACTGAGGGGACTTCATCAAGGGATCCCACTGTGACCCAGTTTTTAAAGGAAACTTCTTCGATGCAAGGTAAATTTTTTTGTTAATATAAATATCTGAATAATATATATTCAACTTTCAAATTGGTACAATCATTACATAGTTTTACCACTCATCCAAATCAGTTCATTATATCAACAAATTCGAATTTTCAAGATGGCACACTTCCCGCACCGCTGGAGCTGTTAAATTATTTCATACCACCAACTTAAAAAGTCAAGGCTTGCAACAAGTGCTGGAAATTCTCGACACTAGAAGGCCTGGAGGGAATGCTGGTACATCTTAAGATGAGATTATGTTTGGAACATTTTTTACTACAAGAATATTATAGAAAATTATCACGTTTTGGTTGACATTGAAAAGAAATTGAAAATAGATATAAACATCTTTAGATTTTTTTAAACCTGATCTCAAAATTTATTGAATAAAATGTTATAATCACTTGTCTTCTGTCGACGCTTTACCGTTTCGTGCTTTCCCCCTCTCCACGTGTAGCGGTAGTAGAAGGTTAGGGACTGCATTCCGATTGTTTCAACAAAATGTCTCCCCACGTGTAATATTTCTAACTTGTTCGGGTGTATTGATATAATTTTTATTTTTTGTCTTAACTTTTAACGAAGGTATCTGTCGTTTTTTAACAAGCCTAATGTCCTCGTCCTTTTGTTTTTATACTGAACACAAGTTCGATCTTCTCTACGTTCTTTCTGAAACACCTTTTGGCTGCAACCTCACCGACGAGTAAGTTGTCTGACATTTTAAATCTGTGCTGTTTTCTTTGCTAGCATCACAATTGTGTTTTCAGAATCCTGATGATGGCTCCATAGAGAATGCCTAAAGTTTGATTTTATCGTCAAAAGGGTCAACTTAAGCCTAAAAGTTTTGCCAATTTCCCATTTAACAAGTAATTGTATTTTGTACCCAACTAGTCGTTGGCTTTGGCAATGACTACTGCTCATATATATATATATATATATATATATATATACTCTGATACAAAAATCAGTGTATGAGATCAATCTACCAACAGACACAATTATTCCGGATATTTATGTGAGTCCATTACGTGCGTTGCACCATTGACGTTGCTTTAATGTAATGTAATATTTCTATGGCAATACATATGTTAAATACATAAAATCATTATGTTCACTTTCTTCCAACTCGCCACTTCGTCAATTGTCAAATTGATATTCTAAAAAACTTGGCGTAAAAAGTCATCGAGTATTCTCTTTTAATGATAACTTTATGATCCATGATACATTTTATTAAAACAGAACCAGGAAGAAATTGACTAGACCTGCTCAGCTAACTCAAACATTATTTTTTCTATACTCTTACTATAACTACATTGGAGAAATAACTATTTTTGTCTACCGCACACGAAGTTGCTGAAACTGAACTTTGAAAGGTCTTTTGCAGTTCTGTACATGATGCTCAAAACTTCCGTGGACATCGGATTACTATAGATATGCCAATTGAGCTGAAGGTAACCATTATTATATATTCTAACATGCCTTGTTCGTCTGTTGGGAAGGTGAGAAGATATTTTCAATTTTTTATTATACAGTTTTGGCAATCCGGATCCATAAACGGTTAAATTAGCCTTATTTGACAATTGAGCTAAATATCAAATCAGCATAATGTTTCTGTTTACATCTGGGCTATTTGTAATTGATACAACTCTATTAACATATAATTATATATAAACTTTGAAGCTTCCTCAGAGGCAAACGAGGCTGTAGGATATTGATAATTGAACTCGATCGACTTATTTTAAGCTGGTTAAACTATAGTAATTCTTCTGTGTTCATTAAATTTTGAGACACCATGTATATTTCATCCTAGATATCCATCGTATTAAACCAAGTACCTGAAATTTATTAATCTGAGTATATCATTTACTTGAAGTGAGATACTTGCTTATCAAATCAAATACATTGGTAACATCATATAAAACCCTCCATTCTGTAAATGAAGTACATGAATCTCATGATATGTGAGCATCATTTCCTTGTATCAATTTTCTAAGCTCTTAATAGGTATATACTTGATTTTCATGAATCAAAATAGTAATCCATAATATTAGAGAATCCTTCACATGCATCTAGTACATAGCCTTTTTATACACTTGGTGTGAGGACAGCAAATTCTTCTGCTAGATGCCTAATTCCTTAAATTGAATTGAATTGAATCTTCGGAAATAAGGATCTCCGTTTAAAGTAACATGTCATAGAAACATATCAAAGCCAGGATTTCCTCAATTCGAGGTAATACTCTTCATTCAAGATCACTCTTTTTTGTGTGTAGTACCACGAAACACTATATCCTTTGTCGCAGCAGAGGGAGGGAGGCAGGGTGTGAATGAATTATTCAGAGTACTTCGGTTATCTTAAGGCGATTGTATATGTGTTTCTAGGAAAACCAGCTTACTATTGTCTGATTTGAAGTTCCAAATCTAGGGACGCCTTGTATTTCCTTCGCTCAGATTTCTTTGAATCTAGTTGCAAACTATTGAATTTCCTTGTATCTCATTGTACCTACACTGCATCAAATCGTAAAGTCGGCTGAAAAATCAGGAGAAAAGGACACTAGGGGCAGCCTACAGCCATGCATTCTGCTCATGTTCAGATACAAACATTGCCTCCAGTCTTCTTGTATTGCCTTAGTTATCTTTCCAGTGGGATAGAGAATTTCCTCGGGCTGACAATCCTATCCCAGCGGGATGTCGTTTGCTCCAAATCTGCTACCTTTGGGATAGAAAATATCACGCAGGTAATAGTTGTAAATAACGCATGACCATACTATGCTTTTCAGTAAACTATACCTGCTTGTTTACCTTTCGATTGCCTGTCTTGGCAAGACCAGATCTATGTACCGCAGTGATGACTACGAAGGAGCACGAAAGAATATTGTTCATGGTTATAGAGACGGAAAGGACACAGATGAAGTTCGGCTTATGTGTACTTCTGCAATTTTGCATAGAATGTCATTGTTGGTGGCCTTGAGAGTAGCTCTTACTTTGGCTGATCGAGTCATCCTTTAACGATGGTGGGCGATATTGATCCTAGAACGGTAACTGCCATTCAGTGTATACCAGAGGCATAAGCCTTACCTTTCCAGCGTATGGACCGAAGATGGATCAGTCAATAAAAATTTATTCATCTTTGTACTTAGCGTTAGAGTTATTTACTTAGCAAAAAAAATACATAGTAGTTTGAACGACGCCCGCGTGGTTCTTCGCACAAGTCAGTTTTTAGGGTTGGGCTCTCTGAAAGAGAGTCATATCAATTTATTTGTGCCAGATGTCTGAAACGAGCGATCTCATTGTATTTGTGGGAGGATCCGATTAGCGTAAGGCAGCTACCATCAGATCTTCTCTGCCCGGGTTGCTTTATATGGCCCTTTCTATGGGTGTAGGGGGGTGCTAAGGCTGGAGAAATTCCACCTCCAGTCCTTGTGCAGGATTGCAAGACACTTTGTTGTCATCTCCTTTGTTACTCTGGCTGCTGAAGGGTTAAGTGGACAGGTAGGTTTGTGATTGGTGTGTCTAGGAGCGTCACTAGCATTTTCTGTCGCAAATTTTCTACCCTGATATGTTAGGGATCCCGGCTGAGCATTTTCCAAAGTTTTCAGCCTTATCCTTGGTAGAGTTTTCAGAATCAGAATCCAACATAAGAGCAATGCACGTCGACTTTGGATTTCCATCCAATTATGAGGTGGTACCGGAGATTTGTCTAGACTTGACATACTATTTGAATTTCATATGTGCCTATGCAGGATGTATTCATTAAATTTATATCTCGTTTCCTACGGTCCCTGAATATCATGTTATTCGCTAGACGGCATGCTATGTTGCATCGGTCTGACAGAGAAAAGATTTTGAAGAACAGATCTATTTGCCTGTCATTTTTTCAAACTGCTAAAGTAATTGTAGACGGAGTATGATCCTGCTTCACCGAATTCCGCCTTAGTACGAAATTCCCACAAGCCACGTAACGGGGATGTGGTTGGTGGCAATATCACCGAGACGTTTTAATTTTTATCTCCTTGGCTCCAATGGTGCAGGCCGGTGTACCTGGGGGCGCATATAAGTGAGATAAATAGAGGCAGCGGCTGGGTGTGCACAGAGCGTCCATATACAGAATTAAAGCGGAACGTGCCCTAAGGACCACAGAGTACGCTAGCAATGACCGCACGTCCGGCACCGATTCCAGAACGCTACGTGTTACCCTCTACCGCGTACACATACACACGCAGAGCTCACTTTATCTTCTTTCGCTTTGGTGCCATAGACGTCCAGCAGACATATGGCTTAAAAGTCGGTTTTCTTACCGTCTCTTTAACTATTACCAACTGGATACAACATTGTTTCATGTTCTTTAGCAATACAGCATCAGTATGGTCGTGTAGAGACCAATAAATTCGAAAAGATTAGAAGCCAAGCCTATATGTCTACATTGCATTGTTTGTCGCCAAAATTGCAGTTTTAGTTCAAAATTTTGGGTCTTTTGAATTCCATAGCTTATAAACGTGACAACGTTGTATCAACATAATAATAATACTTACCGGCAAAAATGTCTACCATTTATTTCTATACTGACATCAATTCTAGAGAATTGCATCAAAGGCCTTTGCATCCAGCTAAAGTGACAGTGTGGTGTGCAATTTTCCCAGGCAATTATACATCTATGTTTTTTTTTAAGAAAGTGAAATCGTATTCAATTCGGACCGGTATGTAAACATGTTACAGGTATTTTTCACGGCTAGATGAAATGGACTGTCTAGACTAGAGCATCTCATCTCAATTAGGGGCGATTTGGAGTGGCTCTTTCGATTTGGGCCTTTGTGATCTTTGTGTATGAAATTTTTCAATACCCCGTGTTCATGGGAACCCTCCAAAGATGCTACAAGATCGGAAGACGAATATCTAGAAAGGACTTGCCAACATAACGCCTGCTTAGCTGGCAAAAGTCATAACAAACTCCTATGAAGCACGATTCACTCACTATGTGGACGATGGGTACCGCACCTATCTGATTTGATCTTAAAAATTATGTAAGACAAAACTCTAGGCATGCACTTATATCATGAAAGAAAAACAAATAATAT